GTCGCGCGAGTGGCGAGGGGAAGGAACGCGGCCGCCCTTCGCGCGCTCACGAGTTCAGGAAGTTCAGGTTCGCGGACCCTCACAGATGGCCGCGCCCGCGCGCCGGCCGACGCCCGCGAGCGCCAGCGCGACCTGGAGGACAACGCCACTCCAGCGATCAGCAAGCTCAATACCTGGCGGAGCCGACTCGGGAGCGGCAAGCGAGGCTGCCCCGCCGCCGGTGCCCGCGGGAACATCAGGATCCAGCTCATCGGTTCGCTGGGTCTCAGGGCAGTGGCTCCGGCGATTGCGTCGTTGGACCCCGGAGTTCTGGTTCTGGCGACTGCGCTGTTAGACGGGCGACGAGCCAGCCCAGTAACGGGGGCAGCGCCGCGACGAGCAGCGCACCGAGCTGCCGATGCAGCGGTCGGCAACCCGACCCCCTCCGACTGGACTCGCTTCGACGTCGCCACGGTAGCGCCTGGGGAGTCGCGCGAAACGCGCGCGAGAATTGCGCAAGCTGCATTCGGCGGTCGCCACAAAGGAGGAGATGGCACGAGCATTGCGCGCAGCCAACATTCCCCAAGACATCCTCGATCCCGCTCCCACCGCGATCAACGACTGTAGGACATGTCGTCAGTCGCAGCCACCAGCGCATCATACTATCCCTAGACTCCTCCTTTAGACGCGATTCAACCAGCACGACGAGTGCGATATCCTCCTACTACGAGGATTGCATGATCATGAATTTGATCTGCTGTGCCTCACGGGGGGCGCAACGGCCAGGATCTCGATTCAAACCACGACGCGACGTTGCTGTCTGTCATCGACCGTCCAGCGCGATGGAGGCGTTCATCGTGGACGGGGAAGGCGGCGCGACCTCGGCGCATTTCGCGGAGGAGATTAATCGGCGAGGAATCCAGTTGGATATCAGGCTTCCCCGACAGCGCGCTCTTTTACAACGTGCACTTCGCGCCGCCGAAACAGCGAATCTCGATTCTATTTTGGCTCACGCGATCTTCGCTGGCAGCAGAATCACCCGCGTGGGCGGCATTGCGCCGTGCAGCGTCGCCGTCGGAAGGCAGCCGCCCATGCTGACGCCGCAGCAGACGAAAGAGGGCGAGGTATCCGGCGTCTATGACGCTGGAGCCGGCCCTTCTGCTGGCAGCGAAGCGCAGCCCGGCCGACTGCAGTGGCGAATCCGAGAGATGGCACTGCAGCGTGCGATCGAGGCCACGCCCATCTCCCGCGTCAGCCGCGCCCTACGGCCGCGCCCCGCGGAATCCGGAGAGTGCCGTTTCAACGTTGGCGACCAGGCGGGGGCCCCCAGGCCCCCGAGCACGATGGGCGCGTCGGACTGAACGGGCCCCGGGGCCGTCATGTCTGCGGCCCCGGCACGGGGCAAGGTGGCGGCCGAGTGCCGCCGAGCCGACGTGGTCTGCGGATTGCAGGGCGCCCGGCCCTTCATCGGCGCCGTCTTCGACGACGTGGGCGCCGGCTTGGCGCGGGCTGGCCTGGCACGGGGCCCCGTGGAAGACTTCCGAGGAGCACGTCGTGCCAGTCTCCAGAGTCAGGACCTTCGCCCATTGGGAGGGCGCGAGGGGCGTGCAAATCACCGCGCAGACGCGAGAACGCTCCGACATCCTCGAAGCTCTGCGCCGCGTATCCTGCAGATGTTATCACTTGCCAGACGTCCGTGCCATGCGTCTGAAACGCGGCCGTGAACTTGCGGGCGACTGGCCAGGCTGCCCCCGCAGCCAAGTCGTCTGGTGGACCCTTCAGAGCCCAGGTCGCATTCAACAGATTTTTCTCGACGGCGCTTCGACGCCCACTTGCTCATCGGCGAGCAGCGCGAGGAGGCCCGCGCCACCCAGTGCATTTTGACGAGGCTCTTCTGGCGCAGACGCGGGACAACATCCAGATGGAGCGTTCGGCGGCAGCCCGCGCCCTGCTCGCCCGCCACTGCGTCGCCGCGCATATTGCCGCACTGCAGAGAGCCGAGAGCCAGCTGCTCATTCGCCATGCGATGCAGCTCGATTCCATTGTCTTGGCCATGCAGAAGATCAAGGGGGCATCGCGTTTCCCTCGATGGAACGCGCCGGCCAAACCTGCGCGCGCGGCGACGGGTCGTTCAAGAGGGAGGAGGAAACAGGATACGGCGCGATGGGAGCAGCATGCGTGTGCCTGGGCAGGCGCCGACGCACTGGCAAGGGGGCGTGCCATTTCCTCGACCCCGTGACCCGATCGCACATGCTCGTGTTCCGATCATCATTCGGCTCGGAGCTGCTGGCTGCCCGCAGAACAGCGGGCGTCTTGCAGTCGCGGCCCCTCGCGCTCCACGAGACGGCCCGCGGGCCTGCCTCCTCCGAGGAGATCGCGGGGCCGTAGGAAGAGGGGGGGGGCTACGCAGTGCCTGCAAGCCTGGTCGTGGGCGGCATGTCCGTTTTCACGGCGATGGCCGTGGGTCCCATTTGGCCGCCGTCCGAGGACTGCGCGGTTGGCCTCGCGCGGCGGTTGTCAGTCAACTAAGCGCCGAGCAAATTGAGGACGCGCTGCGTTGCGACGCCCGCGCCGCCGGGGCGGGCCCCATGACCGAGGGGTGCATCGGCCGAGAGTTGTTCCTGAACATCACGAACGGCCAGCTCCGCGTGGCAGTCTCTCCAAGGACAGGGGCGACCATCATGGCGAAGTCACCCGTTCGTCCAAGATCGCGGGCAACGATGGCCCGGGCTCGCAACAACTATGTCATCGCAGCTTGCGGCCCCGGCCATGGCAAGGGATGGCGCAGACGCTCGCCTGTCGCGAACTATGGTCGCGAATGCGATGTAGTCAAGCATGCGAAGGAGCGGGCTGCTTCCATGAACTAGGTTCGTGGAGCAGCAGGTAAGAGGAACATCGACCATGCAAGTGAATGAGTCTCCCTCAATCGAACTGTCCACTGCCGCGTGATTTTACACGAGGCGTCGTTGGCTGGCACATGGTTTGCATGCGTTGGCCGACAATGCACAGCAGCTCTGTCTGAACGCCAGACTCTACTAGTACCCATGTCTTATGATGTTGCCTGGCCGCTGTCATTTTACGAGCCTTTCGCGCCGACTCGGCGCAAGTATGACAACGTTGTTTTTTTGTTTGTCTCTCTCTCTCTCTCTCTCTCCCCCTCACACATATATATATATATATATATATATATATATGTATAGTCCCCTCCTCCTCCTCCTCATCCTCGCCTGGTTCTCTCTCATTCTGCCTCCGCCATCCTTGTTCGTCATGGATGCTTCCTCCCTGTCGCGCCCCGACGCGCGTTGGTAGGGCTGGCTTGGCGTTTCGCTAGGGACTTCTTTGCCATGTACGATCTTGAAACTGGGAGAATTTGCGTCAGTTTCACGGATGGAGGGCGGGCCGTTTTCACGCTTTGGATTTTCTTTTAGAGCCGCGCAGCGTCGTTTTTGAAATTCGGATTATTTTCACGGTTGCAGGGCAGCCCGTTATCAGCATGTGTTTTTTTTGGGCGCCGCGCACATTATTTCTGCAAGTTTGCAAAAGGTTTACGGTTGGATGGCGGGCCGTTCTCGAAATGCGGTTGTCGCGTTAGCGTTGTGCACATTCGTTTTGCAAGCTTGCAAGCTTTTTGCTGATGGAAGTTTTTGTTCCCAAAGTGTGGTTCTCCCTCAGCGCTGTTCACGCTCGTTAGAAACATTTGCAGAGTCTTCGCGGGTGGTGAACGGGCCATTTTCAAAATGTGGTTCTCGCCGTAGCGCCCCGCACCGCGCGCATTCGTCTTAACAGTTTGCATCACCGCTGGACGGCGTGTGGTTTTTGCCGCGCGCACTCGTCGTAACATTTGCAAGCGTTTTCAAATTGTCTCGTGGTTGACGTTTCGCGGAAGGTGTTCCAGCGCGATTTAGGAATGCCAAAGCGCAGCAGTTACATTGATTCGCGTTTTCGGAATCCCAAGAATGGTGTCGTTGCGCGGCTCAGGATTATCAGGACGCAGGAATAACGTTGGTTCGCACCGTTGCATTCCTGAATTTGCGTTTTGGCACGATTTGGCACTATCAGACGGTAGCCTTCCAACGGGGCATTTCCTGCAGTGAACATGAATTATTGTAGGGACTTCTGAAGAGGGAGCGTTGGTGGATGGTTTATGGCAACATCATTGATGCGTTCTGGTTTAGTATGGTTTTTCTTCTCCTCCGCTTCATCCTCTTCCTCTTCCTCCTCCTCCTGCCTCCTCCTCCTCTTCCTCTTCTTCCTCCTCCTTCATCATTCTCTTCCCCCGACAACCCCTCCCAATCCTCCCCCCCTTCCGTCTTTTCCTCCCCTCTCCTTTCCACGTTTCCTTCTCTCTCCCCCTTTTCCGTCTCCTGTTCCCCCCCCTTTGGCGTGGGTCCCTGGGGTGGGGATGCCGGTTTCGTGACGGGTTCTCCTTCGAAGACCCCCCCTGGACTGTCTTTCTGTTCCCCCCCCCCTCAGCTTGCCGCCATGGGCCCCCGCGCCCCAAGGCAAGCCTGGAGCCGCGCCGGCCGAAGGCCGCGCGCGCGCGCGCCCCCTGCCCCGCTGTCGTTTTCGTAGTTTTCGTCGTTTTCGGTTGTCGGCCGTCGGTCGTCGGTCGTCGGTCGCCGTCGCCGTCGCCGTCGCCGTCGCCGTCGCCGTCGCTGTCGCCGTCGTCGTCGTCGTCGTCGTCGTCGTCGTCGTCGTCGTCGTCGTCGTCGTCGTCGTCGTCCTCGCCGTCGTCGTCGTCGTCGTCGTCGTCGTCGTCGTCGTCGTCGTCGTCGTCGTCGTCGTCGTCGTCGTCGTCGTCGTCATTGTCGCCGCCGTCGTCGTCGTCTTCGTCGTCGTCGCCGCCGCCGCCGCGGCCGCCAGCCACCGCTTGACGCCGCCACCGCCGCCGCCGCCGCCGCCGCCGCCGTCGTCGTCGTCGTCGTCGTCGTCGTCGTCGTCGTCGTCGTCGTCGTCGTCGTCGTCGTCGTCGTCGTCGTCGCCCTCGTCGTGTCCGCCGCCGCGCCCACCACCGCCGCCGCCGCCAGGGGCGGCCGCCGCCCCCAAGCCGGGGATGCTGCGCCGAGGCGGCGCGTTGCAGTGACCCCATGCGGACGACCGCGCGCCGCGCCGAGCGGCGCGCCTCCGCCTGCGGCCCGCCCCACGGCGCGCCTGCGGCGCGCCTGCGGCGCGCTCGCCAGCGGCCGGCGCGCTTCCGCCCCTCTCCGGGGCAAAGGGGGCGATCACTGGAGGATGAGGAGGAGGAGGAGGAGGAGGAGGAGGAGGTGGAAATGGAGGCCGGGCGGGGGGCGGAGGGGGCGGCGAGGCCGACGAGGTGCAGTGTAGTGCGAAGCTGCCGTGCCAGACTGCCCGATCCCGGAGGTCGCGCCGGGCCCCGAGCTAGCGCTTCTTCTCCCTGCAACTCGCAGAACGCATCTGGCAGCTCGGCCTTCTCGGGGACGACCTTGAGGTGGACTTCTACACGCCGCCCGCCTCGCCCTTGCGGGCCGCGCCGCCTGCGTCGGAGGAGGCTGAGGCGGCGGTTGGCAGAGGTCCTGCCCGCGCTGGACCTGCGTCGGAAGCGGTGGAGGCGGAGGAGGCGCCCGCGGTGTCGTCGACGTCTTCGCCACGTGGGTCCGCGACGCGGAGGCGGGAGGAACGCCTGGAGGTAGCCCCGTCGACCCCTCCAGGTGGCCCGGCCCCGCGTGGTGCTCAGGGGCCCCCTGAAAGACATGCGCGTCCAGGAGGCCATGCGACTCGTAGAAGCCGTGGCGGCGGCCGCCGTGGAACACCCTCCGGCGTCGGGGGAGTGGGCCGCACTGCTCCGAGAGTTTCTCGCTGAGCTGGAGGCCGAGGCCGCCGCGCCGCCGCGACGTTCCCTGATCCCTCCCGCGACTCGGAGGGGCGCCTTGTCCCCGCGGCAGCGCAGGCGGCCGCGCTGAAAGCGCGGAATGGGAGCAGGCGCGGCGCCGCTGGCATCCTCATCGGAGGATCGCCTGTCCCCCCAGGGCCGGAAGCGGACGCGAGGGTCAGGAGCCCCCTCCAATGCGACCCCCTGGAGCCAGCCGAGCACGCTCGCATGCAGGAGGCCTTGGCAGCAGTGCCTGCGACACCCCAGGAAAAGGCATCTTCTCGTGACGCAGCGGCCGGTGTGCCGGCAGGTGGCCACCCTGCAGCCCGGTGCCGGGCGTGGCCCCAGCGGATGGCGGAGAGGCCACATTCAGCGCGTCCACTCTGATCCGCATGGTCCTCGGCGAATTGGCGAGGCGCCCTCCTCCTCCTGCTCCTCCTCCTCCTGCTCCTCCTCCTCCTCCTGCTCCTCCTCCTCCTCCTCCTCCTCCTCCTCCTCCACTCTGTCCCGGCGAATTGGCGCAAGGCCTCGGGTCTCGGCGCGAGCAGCCCGTGGCTTGCAGAGCTGGGGGCGGGTGTCTGGGCGCGCCCGTTCTACAAGAGCGAGCTCTGCAGGGCTGCGCAGCCCGTCATCCACGGCGAGGCCCTGCTCGAATTCGCCCTGGGCACCTGCGCGCCGGGGTCCGGAATGCAAGTCGACGTCGCGGTCGGGGGGGGGGCAGTTTGGCGCGGGCCGCGCGGCATTCGCTGCGCGGGAGATCGGCGAGGTGCGTGCCGCGGCGGTCGCGCACCCGGATCGAGCCCTCATCGGCCCGGGCATCAAGAACGCCTTCTGGCAGGTGCGCTGGCCAGACGCGCCCCTCGCGGCGGCCGCGAAGGTCCCGAGGCTCTCGGCGCCCCTGGCTGCTGTGTGGCGGCGCTTCTGGCTCCAGGTGCACCTCCAGGGCGCCCCTTGCAGCGGCCAACATTCGTTCGACGTGCATGGCAGCCTTCTGCATTGGGGGCCCGACGGGCGCCCGGCGTTCTGCGCGGCCATGGCGGCGGCGCTGCACGTCGTCTCCCATCGCCCGCGTCTTGCCGCGCACCGGTCGCGCATCCGCCATTGGCTCTACGTGGGCGACTGGCTCCAGCAGGCGCCGCTCCCGGCGGTCCACGCGCTGTTGGAGGTCCTGGGGGCCGCTGCCGCCGAGCGAAACTTGCCCCTGCAGCTCGCCAAATGCGCCTTTCACGTCCCGGCTCCCCAGGGGCCACCGCCGCCGCGCCTTCCCGAGGGCGCCGGGCAGCTGGCCGGTGTCGCCCCGCGCAACCTGGAGGGCCTGGCCATTCTGGGGACGGAGGCCTGCGGCGACTTGGCAATGTCATTGGTCGCCGACTCCGCGCCCGCCGCCGCCCCCGAGCATGGCCTCCACCGCTTGGGCAAGGCGGCGCGGTTCATGTGTTTATGTTGTTTCTTTGTTGTTTGTTCCTGTGTCTCTCTCTCTCTCTCTCTTTTTGTATATTTCCCCCCTCACTCCGTTTTCGCTTTGCTTGTCTGTCAGTCTAATCTCCTTGTTTCCGCTTGTGCCTGCCTGCCTGTCTGTCTGTGTCGGGTGCGTCGTATGTGTGCTGTGTCGGGTGCGTCTGCCGTATGTGTGCGTGTGTGTGCTTCTGCGCGTGCGCGTCCCGGCTCCCCAGGGGCCACCGCCGCCGCGCCTTTGGCCGGTGTTGGAGGGCCTGGCCATTCTGGGGACGGAGGCCTGCGGCGACTTGGCAATGTCATTGGTCGCCGACTTGGCCTCCACCGCTTGGGCAAGGCGGCGCGGTTCGTTTAGCCCTCAGCTTTGCTTGTCTGTCAGAGCGTCAGCGTAGGTAGGGGGATCGCTCCGAGGTAGGAGGAGGAGGAGGAGGAGGAGGAGGAGGAGGAGGAGGAGGAGGAGGAGGAGGAGGAGGAGGAGGAGAGGAGGAGGAGGAGGAGGAGGAGGAGGAGGAGGAGGAGGAGGAGGAGGAGGAGGAGGAGGAGGAGGAGGAGGAGGAGGAGGAGGAGGAGGAGGAGGAGGAGGAGGAGGAGGAGGAGGAGGAGGAGGAGGAGGAGAGGAGGGGGGAGGAGGGGGGAGGAGGGGGAGGAGGAGGAGGAGGAGGAGGAGGAGGAGGAGGAGGAGGAGGAGGAGGAGGAGGAGGAGGAGGAGGAGGAGGAGGGGGGGGAGGAGGAGGAAGGAGGAGGACGAGGTGGAGAAGGAGGAGGAGGAGGAGGACGGAGGAGGAGGGGGAGGAGGAGGAGGAGGAGGAGGAGGAGGAGGAGGAGGAGGAGGAGGAGGAGGAGGACGAGGAGGAGAAGGAGGAGGAGGAGGAGGAGGAGGACGGAGGAGGAGGAGGACCAGGAGGGAACAGGAAACAGGAGGGTGACCAAGAGGAGGATCGTGAAGAGGGTGGGAAGCGGCCAGGCCGCCGCGCCCTGGCGGTTCCCGCGCGCGCGCCCTGCATAGCCCGGCCAGCAGGTCCTGCCCGGAGTCACCTCGCCCGCAGGCGTTGCGGCGGAGGGGAAAAGAGGGCGCATCTCTCTTCCTTTCGGGGGTGGACAGAACCCCCAACAGTGACACGTCGATTAGTGAATTGTCCGTTTTCGGTTCTCGAGAGGGCGCCGCGGCCGTTATTTTCCAGGCTTGCGCCCGCCAGGTTTGGGCCCCAGGTCGTTTTCACTAAACCACGTTTTACTAAAGGGAGGTCTGTCCATCCCCGATCCTTCTGCTCCTCCTCCTCCTCCCTTTCGCAGTTCTCCAGTCTTCCCAGCGTCCTCGCAAGAAGCACTGGGCACATAGCGGGGATCGAATTCTGAACAGAGTTTGTCTGGTATGGGCCCTTGTCGTGCGCGGCGCTCTTCGTGGTCAGCGATGACCGCGTAGGTGTGTGTGTGTGTGTGTGTGTGTGTGTGTGTGAGGCTTCTGGGGAGCGGTTCGTTGGGAGACATGCGTGAGCAGGCAGTGCATTCAGAGACACGGGGTTCGTTGGGAGTCATGCTGGCGCTGCTGGAAGTTCAATCATGCTTACTGCTCGGGGCAAGGGTTACGGTTGGATTTGCAATCCGTTTGCGGGTGCATTGGGGCTCTGAAGACGTCAGCGTTCCAGATTTGGATGACGAACGTCGGAAGTTGAGGAGGAGGAGGTGGAGGAGGTGGAGGAGGAGGAGGCGGAGGACCAGAGGTAAACCCATGATGCGTGAAACATGCTCCATTATACCATCCCGGCCAGGTCCCTTCAGGCACGTCTCCCCCCCGCGAGGAGCACGCCCTTGGAAAAAGGCGCCGTCTCGACGGGGCTGCCATTCGGGCGAGAGCCCAGCTTCGAAAAGGAGCTGCCCTGGGGAGGAGGAGGAGGAGGAGGAGGAGGAGGAGGAGGAGGAGGAGGAGGAGGAGGAGGAGGAGGAGGGGAGGAGGAGGAGGAGGAGGAGGAGGAGGAGGAGGAGGAGGAGGAGGAGGAGGAGGACGAGGAGGAGGAGGAGGACGAGGAGGAGGAGGAGGAGGACGAGGAGGAGGAGGAGGAGGAGGAGGAGGAGGAGGGCAACACGACCAGAAAGTTCAAGGAAGCTTCCAGCGAGAACCCCGTCTTGAAACGGGGCCGCCTCCACCGCGGCAGATGTTACGCGTCGGGCCATAGCTGATGAGGGGATCTCACGCGACAGCCCTATGTTGGAAAGGAATTGCCTTCCGTCCTTGTAACGCCTGCGCAAGGCGAGACGTTGGGTCGTACACGTTGATCAAGTCTCAAGCGTGAGCCCCGTTTTGAAAAGGAGTTGTCCTCCACTCTTGTAAACGTTGCGCATGTTTGATACTAGGTCGTGCAATTAGAGGAAATCTCAAACGATCGCCAAAGTATGGAAACGAACCGCCCTCCATCCGAGTGACTGTTGGAACTGTCTAAAATGAATATGCGCGGCCAGCCCTCAGTATGTGTGGTCGTCGAAACGCTAAGACAAATATGCGCGGCGCTGGGACGAGAGCCGAACTAAGTTTGAAAACCACCTGCCTTCCAGCCTCGCGACCGTTGAGATATTTGATGTTTTGAGGTCAGAAGTGGGCAGGACGCCTTGTGCGAAAGCCCTTGTACAACACACGGGCGCGCTTGGTGAGGCGACGAGGAGGAGTTATCCTCAAGCAAGAATGATGAAGAAGGATGAGGAGGAAGGATGACGAGGAGGCATAGAGGCATGGAGGAGGAGGAGGAGGAGGAGGAGGAGGAGGAGGAGGAGGAGAGGAGGAGGAGTATTGAGGAGGAGGAGGAGGAGGAGGAGGAGGAGGAGGAGGAGGAGGAAGGAGGCATGGAGGAGGAGGAGGACGAGGAGGAGGAGGCGGAGGAGGGGAGGACGAGGAGGAGGAGGAGGAGGAGGAGGAGTAGGCGGAGGAGGAGGAGGAGAGGGAGGAGGAGGGAGGAGGAGGAGGAGGGGGAGGAGGAGGCACGGAGGCATGGAGGCATGGAGGCATAGAGGCATAGAGGCGGAGGAGGAGGAGGAGGAGGAGGAGGGGAGTGGAGGAGGAGGAGGGAGGAGGAGGAGGAGGCATGGAGGCATGGAGGCATGGAGGCATGGAGGCATGGAGGCGGGAGGAGGGGGAAGGAGTAGAAGAAAGAGGACGAGGAGGAGGAGGAGGAGGAGGAGGAGGAGGAGGAGGAGGAAGCAGGAGTCGCAGCGAAGGCAGGGACGTGGGCGTCGATTTTTCGACGATCGCGACCCGTGCGCGCGCTCGCCGCAGAGCTTTTCGGCTTCTTGTTGGGCTGCTTTTGCGAAGGGCCCGGCGCCCCCCCCCGAAGCCTGCGCTGAGCAGCGCTTGAAGTGAGAGGACGAATGAGGAGGAGGAGGAAAGGAGGAGGAGGAGGAGGCAGGAGGAGGAAAAGGAGGAGGAAAAGGAGGAGGAGGAGGAGGAGGAGGAGGAGGAGGAGGAGGAGGAGAGAAGGGGAGGAGGAGGAGGGGAGGGGGAGGGGGAGGGGGGGGGGGGGGGAGGGGGAGGGGGAGGGGGGAGGGGGAGGGGGAGGGGGAGGGGGGGGGAGGGGGAGGGGAGGGGGAGGGGGAGGAGGAGGAGGAGGAGGAGGAGGAGGTGGAGGAGGAGGAGGAGGAGGAGGAGGAGGATGGGGAGGAGAAGGAAGGAAGAAAGGAAGAAATGAAGGAAGGAGGGAAGGAGGAAGGAGGAAGTTGCTTACATGCAACGGTCGTCCCTGGGGTTCGGCGCAGAGCTTTGGTGGGACGCGCCGGTTCCCCATCATAGTACTCTGGGCGCGCGAGACCCGCGCTTGCTGGAAGAAGGAGGAGGATGAGAAGGAGGAGGAGGAGGAGGAGGAGGAGGAGGAGGATGACCAGCAGGAGCAGGAGCAGGAGGGATGATGATGATGATGATGATGATGATGATGATGATGATGATGATGATGATGATCATGATGATGATGATGATGATGCTGTTGATGATGATGATGATGCTGATCATGATGATGCTGATGATGCTGATGCTGATGATGCTGATTATGCTTATGGTGATGATGATGCTGATGATGATGATGCTGACGAGAATGATAATGCTGATTATGCTGCTGATGATGATGATGGTGGTGGTGGTGGTGATGGTGATGGTGATGCTGATGGTGATGGTGATGGTGATCATGATGATGATGATGATGATGATGATGCTGATGCTGATGCTGATGCTGATGCTGATGCTGATGATGATGATGATGACGATGATGATGACGATGATGATGATGTTGATGATGATGATGCTGATGAAGATGATGCTGATGATGATGATGATGATGATGATGATGCTGATGCTGATGCTGATGCTGATGATGATGATGATGATGATGATGATGATGATGATGATGATGATGATGATGATGATGATGATGATGATGATGATGATGATGATGATGATGATGATGATGATGATGATGATGATGATGATGATGATGATGATGATGATGATGATGATGATGTGATGATGATGATGATGATGATGATGATGATGTGATGATGATGATGATGATGATGATGATGATGGATGATGTGATGATGAGGATGAGGATGAGGATGAGGATTGAGGATGAGGAGGAGGATGAGGAGGATGATGAGGATGAGGATGAGGATGAGGATGAGATGAGGAGGAGATGAGGAGGATGAGGATGAGATGAGGGAGGAGGAGGAGGAGGAGGAGGAGGAGGAGGAGGAGGAGGAGGAGGAGGAGGAGGGGTAGGAGGAGGAGGGGGAGGAGCTGGCGGAGCAGGAGCGGGAGGAAGTTGGAGGAGGCTGGATGTTTTCGGATGTTTTCTGACTTTCTCGGCGGTTTCTTGCTCAGGGCGCTCTTCAGCAGCGACGCCTCGCCGAGGGCGTTCCGGGGGTTCCCGCGCGACCATTTCATGCCATGACCCGCTCCTGCTGCTGGCGCCAATGGTATAGACCTAGCATGGTCCTGTCATAATCCTCATCCTCCTCCACCTCCTCCTCCTACTTCCCCTCGCTGCCTCCTCTTGCTTCTCGCGCCTGCACCCAGGAACAGGGCCAGCCAGGCCGCACGCGCCCCGTCAGAGCGCAGGCTGGCTCGCGGCGTGGAGCTCCGGGCGAGCCCTGGACTGCGCTTGCGCTCCCCCCCTCGTGCCTCAGCGTGCGCGGTGGTCGTGCCCTTGGCCTGCTCGGAGCGGCGTGCCGCACGCTGTGCAGCGGGGAGGACCAGCAAGAAGACGCCGCCGGCCTCCCTGGAAGGGCCGCGCCCCGCCCTCCCAGCGGGAGGGGGGGCGCGACCCTCCTGGGGAGGCCGACGACGACGGCGACGGAGACGACGACGACGACGACGACGACGACGACGACGACGACGACGACGACGACAACGACGTGCCAGCCAAGATCTTCTGGGTGGGCTGGAGGAGCAGGAGGAGGGTCCCGACGACGGGATTCCTATGGATCCCAGGGAATTCCTTCGCCAGGCGCTCAGAGTTGGGGTCCTACCCGAGATGGATGGAGGGAGAGTTGCGTCAGCTTCGAATAAGGCTCCTTTGGGGTTGCTCTGGGGCTCGTATTAGGAATTGCCATGTCGACCACCGCGGCAGGGAGTTCGTCAAATGTGCTGAGATATCTCAGGGGGGGTCGGAGTCTGTCTGCGATATCCCTCCATGGACTCTCCAATAGTACCCCTTGAAATAATCAATGTCGACATTGGAATCGCAACAAGAACTGCCTATGTCCACGCGAGCCCGCGTTCTCTAAATTCCTCGGATTCCTCCGGAGTTCCTTGGATTTACCGTTGAGATTCCGATGGGATTCCTCGAGGTGAAGCTCAGTCTGCATGCTATGATTTGTCCTAGCTGCATTTATGACATGAGTATTAATGTTATTGTTCAAGCAAGCGATATCGCCTGGGGTTTACCGCTGGCGACTTCCTAGAGTTAAGAGTCGCGATTACAGGAAGAGCAGCCCGACGGTGAGCTTAGCGAGAAGCACGCGCCACGAGCCAGCCAGCACGCGTGCAACTTGAGGTGGGTCAGTGCGGCTGTAAACGATTCGCTATCACT